TAAAAGTACATGCATCTCCAGCAAACTTTGCAAATTTACACCCTCCCACTATTGTTGTTTCTGGGGACCCGGGGGTGTAAAAGGGATTTTACGTATCCACGAATAGGAATGTAATATATGGACATTGTCATTGCGTTAAAGGCAGTAATGCCACCAACGGGTCCCTTTGGAAAAGCTACTTGATTTTCAAACCAATATTCTCAAGTGTGTGCGAGAAACATCCCTCTTTGTAATTTAGACTATCCCTTACATTTAAATTAAAAAAAATTTGTTGTAATGAAAGAGGAATCATTACGGCTGGGCATAAGGACCAAAGCTTCAAACAACCGTAGGAGCGCCAAAAGGACCTTGTTCCTCTTCCCATGTCTAGTTTGCTTTCTTGTTCTAATTCCCACCGTCCGACATCTAGTTTGTGATCAAGCAGGCACAACACAATTTATATACGTCTATGCATTTCTATATGAAACAGAATATTAATGAGAACCTTGTAGGGACTTTGCCTACTTGAAAAACATGAATTGATGCAAGCTTAATAGGGTCTTTGTCACTTCAGATGTCTCGGATTCAAGAGCACATCTAGCATCCTATATTTGTTTCAGTGTTCATTATAACATCATGACATTTGGCTGCTCTTGCTGTGTTACTTGCCTACTTGCCCCATGGACCAGCTACCGGCCCCCATTCTCTCTGGTGCACGGGCATGTGCTCCCTCTCTCGTGGCGGCTTGCCTTGTCCTCTCCTCTGTCTGCCACCATCTTCAATCAAGAGTTTGGGTTCTCAAACCCTTTTCTCTTTCTACGTGGCAAACAAACTTCAGAAGTGAAAATTAAAAAACATAGGATGATCATGGAGATACTAATCTTTGTTGCAGAAGAGAAAAGCACTAAGGAAGAAGAAGTTAAGCTAGTTAGTCACCCCATAATGGAAACTTCCTCAACACTTCATTATCTTACAAATCCTTAACAATTTAATTGTGGGGATAAGGTTGTTGCTTCCAAAATTGGAAGTGAAATTGACCAACACTCGAAGCTTACGAGTATGTCTACCCCACTTCGTTTACCGAACGGACAAAAAATCAAGCACAAGTTTCATCAAAAGAATCAAACGTAATAGTTGGGGCACTTTCTATTTCTTCATCTGCTCGCCTTTTTTCTTTTTCTTTTCAAGG